CACACACACCCGGGCATACAAGCGCGTCTGAGAGTGCCATACGCAATCTTCAGAAGAGCCATATATGGCTCGCGAGCCATAGGTTGCCGACCCCGGCTCTAAGAGATTTAGCTAAGGGCTGCCGTGCATACGGATATGCTTTTCTCGACTAATCCTCAGCCTTTAATACGACCCCACGCCATCTTCTACTTCATAAAATTTCTGCAAGCGGTTCTCCCGCCTGGGCTGTCTCTTGGCTGGGGGACTTATTCACTTCTCGCACGCAATTCGTTCATTGCTGTAAGCGAAAATCCATGGTCCTTCCCAACAACTGTGGAGTTCTCCAAGGGTCCGTATTAGCCCCTCATCGCTTATCCCTCCACACTGACGACCTATAATCGCCAAACAAATGTTTGCCTGTTAAATATATTGATGATATGGTTGTTGGCCATCCTCTCGAATGTCAGATACATCTCCAAGTACTAAAGGATGGCCTGGACCACGTCTCAACATGGTCGTCAGCAAATGGCCTTCGACTTAACGAGAGGAAGTCAGTCCAGTGTATTTTTCGATTGTGACCCTCTCCCAGTCCTGAAACTATTGACATTCTGCCCAACGAGGCATCCTCTTTCCGATACCTTGGTGTCACTCTGGCATGCAACCTTACATTTTCTCTTCATATAGAAAACCTTTTTTATTAAAACCCGTAAACTTTTATATGATATCCACACTTTGCATTCATATCGCATACCGCAAGCCCTAATCTGGTGAGATATAGATGCCTGCATTTTCTCCCTCAGTCTTTACTGCTCTGCAGTTATTTTGCCAGCTTTACTTAAAAAAGACCTACTAATTTTTGGACGTATCCTCCGAATGCTCTTTTCAGCTGCCTGTGTTTCCTGTGTTTTTTAAGCGGACACTATAGTACAACGAAATTTTAAAACGGTCAAGCAATTTGCTGATCACATCCTTAGTGAGGGCAATCACCGTCGGAACTAATGGCTGCGAAGTCTTCCCGTAGTACGCGCCGAGGCTTCCGTCATATGTCTTGCCGTAAATCTGCATATCAGCACTCTGTACTCCCATTCCTAGCATGCACGCTAACTCACGTATGAAGAAGCGGAAATTAAGAAGTTAAAAGCCGACCTGTCTCCATAATAGATGTGGATATCGTGTAAACCTTTAATTTTGAGCATTCTTTGACCTTTTACCTTTGAACCTTTACAATGACCCTGTACTTAGCTTATCCCTTGCTCTCCGTGAATGTAGCTATTTTTTCCTGAAAGTTTTGGGTCTTCCCTTCAAAATAAAGCACTTTCTTTCTCTGTCATACGACTTGTTTGAGGCGTCTGCTTAGGAGTTAGCTTACCGAATCCCCCTAAAAGGGGAGTTTGAGCAAAAGAGTCTTCTTTTCCTCAGTGGTGTGGTGGGCTTTGTTTCTTTCTCCATCATATTCCTCATGATGAATCGGTCCGGTTATCCATTCTGTCGAAGCAGATCTTGGATTTTCTGGAGCTCTATTTCAATAGTGTCTGCTGAGCATACTTTCTGGCTCTTTGTGTCAGGCAGCGAACTAATTTACGCTTCTGTTGGATAGGTATATAGCTGTTAAAGTTTGTGTACTATCAGGACCAGGTTTTCTTACGATAAACGCTCCTTCGAACGCTACCGCCAGGTCTTTGACTTGGGATGTCATCCAAGAAGGGAAGGGAACCTGCCGTCTCCACCTCCAAGATGGACTTAATGGAGGGGTGTGCTTGATTAACAGTATTTGGAAGCGCATTAACATCAGTTACTGCTGATGCGATGGCGAAGATGTAATCGACGTACTGACCGAAGTGTTTTAACTCACGGACCTGCTAGTTGAACTGAAATTTCTCCAACATGCCCATGAAAATGTAAGCTAAAAGAGGCCCGAGATGCGAGCCCATAGCGACGCCGTCTAGTTGTCTATAGAGTTAGTTGTCAAAAAGGAACTGCACATGCAATGTGCATTTTATTAATAGGTTCTTAAATACATCAGTTGGTATTCCTATTTTTATCTGATTTGTCACTATGCAGTCGCAAATGTATTCGACTGTCTCTGCGACTAGCACGTTTGTAAACAGCGATGACACGGCTAGGGAGGGCATCATCGTGCCGTTTAAGTTCATGTCCTTAACGCCGTCGATGAATTGGAACGTATCTTGATAGCTATTTGGTGCCAGCTGCTGTTGTAAAAGCTTGAATTTCCCTGCCAACCAATTCGCCATTGCATGATATGGCGAGTTTCGCATGTCCATGCATTGGCCTGACGATAATTTATCGAAAGTGTACGTACACTCGCCAAGTACTCT